AAAACAGCTTTGCAAATGACTGCAAAAGTGAATCTCAAACAATGCAAACTGTTTTATTATTTCTATAACGGAATTACAGTTGAAATTAAAAACGTGCTCGAAATTCTTGAGTTTATACTGATAATGATGATCTCAATCTGAATGAAAATTCATTCACCAAACATTATTATTTTAATCTTCAATTATAATAATTACCAACATCAAGCCTTTTAGGAATCAGGAAGAAAAACATCAAAACCAAATTTATCTTCCAAAATATCCCTCGTCTGGATAGCCTGGAATATCCTCGCAAAATTTCTTAATTATTTTAGGAAGAATTCGTTATTGAAAATATTTGTACGGAGCCTAATGGGGATTAATTAAAATCGAAGGCTCGCTCGTTAATTGGATGTAAAAGTCGGAAGAATTTTTTTTATAAAATCCGTAAGACTTATTAAGCGTCGTTATAATTCCACCATATAAAAGGGTTTATCAAAAAGGGACAAATGCGAAGGATAATGGGATTGGGATTATCCTTTTTTTGGACCACATATTATGTCAGAAATTTTCCCTATTATGTTGGAAAATAATAATCTGCTTTTCACCTATATGGATTCGGGAAGATTATCAGAAATTCCCGAAAGTCCCACATGGATCGTTTGTAATTTGCATTAGCCGCATAATTATGCTTAAACTTTTGGGTAAAGTTTCCAATATTTAGTTCAAATGAAAGTTTCACTTCATGTAATTAGGATTAGTTAATATTTCAAAATAATTACAATGAAAAAAAATTGATGATGAATTAAATATAACTTTCTTCAAAACTCTTCAAAAACCTGAAAAATTATCTCGAAAACAATTTATAAAACAAAAATTAAAAACTTTGGCTCTTACCTTATTTTTTTTTTGAAATACAATAAGTAGGTACCTACACCGAAAAATTGTCTTTCCGTAAAAATTATAACATTTGAAATTTTTCAAAAAAAAAATCTCCAAATAGTCTAAAGATTCATCATAACTGTTGAAAATTTCAAAAGTAATTATTACAACGAACTTCTAAATCAAACTGTAAACTTTCGCAAAAGTCCCGTTTACTAGTTGAAAGGATACGCGCGTACTGAACACAGAAGCGCTTATTCTGGCTGGCGTCGGGACGCTGAAAACAGACGCATGTCGGCGCTCCTACAACCTGCTGCAGAATTATTATATTATATTTGGTTGTTACCGATCGAGGACTTTTAATTCCCATTTCAGTTGGTGAAAAAAAGCCACTTACCCCGTGAGTATTAAGGCTTTTAAGGACTGACAAAACAAATTTACCAGAGGTAACTGTTATAAAAATTACCGTTGTTTCATCTGATTTTATCTGATACAAAACAGATAAATCAATGTTTTTATGGTAGCAGTTCCTAATAAGACTCTTCAGAGTCCAATCTTGCGTGCAACCATATACCACAAAGAATCCACACCCCAATTATTCGGACCAATAAGTCAGACACCTTTCCTGCTAAAAACTTTAGAGAAAGTGCCGGATGAGTGGATTAGGGGAGAGGCGCTAATTACGGATCACTAACCCCGTGTATCCAAAATACCACCGAATATCATTGAACCCATTGCTCAGCGGCGACAACCCAATATAGCAACATAATTTCAATAAAATTCTATTGCTAAATTAAGCAATATTTTATATATATAAACACCCTTTTCCAGGGAAAACTCCTTATTGGCGCAGTCTGTAGTATAGAGGAAGAGTCTGCTATTGAAGCATATCGCAAAGGAAACTTTAGAGTTCTCCGGAAAGTTTAGTGCGTAAGGGATTTTTAGTGATTTTAGTGTTAATATTCACCACTGCATCTTTTTATTATCTACTGTCAGCATATATGTCTACTGAGGATTTACTAAAAAAACTCCAAGTTCTAATTCTTACTGACTCGAGCAACTTACCTGTACTCTCCCCCGGAGAAAAATCCGAAGAAAACATGCCTGCCAATCCTCTAACTTTCAATATGAAAAACCTGGCGATCATTCCAAAATATAACGGAAATCCCAATGAACTCTTCGAGTTCGACATTGCTGGAACACCACTGGAAAAACTGGAACAATACTGATGAAGGATGCTTTCAGAACCACATGCTTACTCAGGGCATCAAAAGCAAAATTACTGGTCGAGCAAAAGAAACTATTTCGATCTATGGATGTTTTGGATTGGGAAGCAATTAAAAAAGTTCTGATACAAAACATCGCACCAACGCAACGAGAATTCCTTTTCAAATGACCTACCCACATAACAAAATTGCATCCTTAGAATGTATTTAGAATGTTCTTTTTTTAGGAGGAATGTTCCTAGAATGTTCGCCAAAACCATTGCGAATGTCCTGAGAATGTCCTGAGAAAAGATTGTAGAAATACTGTTTGCAATACCCAAGAACTTCCTGAGAAATCCATTAGGATATTCCTAGAATATACCTATGAGATTCTCAGTACATCCTGAAAAGAATATTCTTGTTTGATTCTAAAAATATGCTCGATATGTATAGGTATTCTCACATTCAAAGAAATGTTTCTATGACATTATAGTTATGTTCTCAAAAGAATATTATACCAATATGCTTGAAATATTCTTGGAATATATCTACATATATCATTCTCAATATGCATCCTAGACATAACATTCTTGGTTGATTCTAAGGATATTCTTGGAATGTTAATTTTCGCTTCCAAATAATGCTCCTTTCAGCCCTTTTATATTAAAGGCAGTGAAACAGTTGTTAGAAAACTTCTCTGGAAAACACAAGTAAGTATTTAACCAAAGCTCCGGTTCCGAGCTTGTTATGCTCTCGTCGAAGCACGCCAACTGAGAAAAACAGGTTCCAAGGTGATTCAAACGCGAGGTAAGATGTAGATCTTTAATAGCGCGTGGCTCCCTCTCTTGGAAGTCCTACAAAGCAAAAGGAAAAGAATATACCTATAATATTCTTAGTAGGTTCTAGATAGAGCATTATTGTTTAATTGTTAAATTATGATTTTTGAGTAGGTACTTCAGATAATTAGGTGAACAATATGAAAATATTTTTATCATGGTTACCTACCTACATAAACTTCTCAGCACAACTTGGTTGGTATATTCTTAATACTTGATAGAGATATTAGCCGAAAGAACATTTTTTAGGGTACATTATAATAATGTTCGTATGACAATATTCAAAGATTGTTATACAAAGTAGGTTCTTAGCACAATCTTTCAGGTAGGTGCATAGAAGCAACATTCCTAGTACATAAATAGAACGTTCAAAAATGAATATTTCAATCGAAACAATCTTAGAATATTCATTAAACATTCCTAAAAGAACATTCCAAAAAGCACTTTGAGGGAATATTCTGAGAATATGAATGTTCTTTCACTGTTATGTGGGTAGTTAACTTACGTCAGTTGCCAAACGAATCTCTTCAACAATTTTACGAAAAAGTTATGGGAGTTCTTGATACTATTTCGAATTACAAAGGAATCCACCATAATAATCCAAGCGTCAAAACAAGTAAGAAACTTTTCTTCTATCAACAGGCGCTTTCCACATTCATGGCAAGACTAAGAGAACCATTAGGATAAACTATTACAGCTATGCGTCTCAGTGACCTAGCCACAGCAATGCAATTTATCCAGGAGGAAAACAACATCAGATACCTCCAAAAAGGCTTCTCCATTTCACAACCTAGCGGCTCAAAAACAAACCAACATAATCAGGAGCAGATAGTGATGCAACCCTGCCAGACTTTCTCGCAACCATTCCAGTCGCAACAATTCAGACCTCAAAATTCTATTCTATTCCAGAGAACATCACAGCAGCAAACACAGCAATTCAGATCCCCATTCAACCAGAATAGACAGCCTATTGTACAGACTGCACGATTCCAGACTCCTCGACCCCAATTTAATATCTGGTAAAGTACTCCAAACCGCACGCTTCCGCTACCAACAACAATGAGCACTACATCAAGAGCCACCGTAAAACCTTCACAACAATCTGCTACAAAATTCACTGTAGAAGAATTATTTAATATCGAGCAACACGAAGACACTCAGGATAACTATTACTATGGATAGTTACACCAATCCAAAAATGGACAATGGTTACTATGATGTAGAACAACAATAAAATGACTACGTGCAACAACAATACACTGAAGAAGGAAATTTTCCAGAAGCGGCCGATCCAGAAACAGAACCATAATAGAACTACATAATTATATTGATCGGGAGGAGCTACCATACATATCTTATCAACAATCCACCTTGAAGGTTCCTTATAGATACTGGCGCAACGAAATCATTTATCAATCCAGACATTGCCTTCAAATACTTCAAAGATTGCATCCACCATCCTTACTTCAATTGACGTTTTCAATTAAAAGAGATGGACAATAAGTATGAAAACAATCATTTTCCCGCCAACATTTGCTTGCTTGTCAATGCCAGTGTGTATTGGGTGTTTTGAAAGAAAAGTCACTATTTCATTTACAGAACTTCGCTATGGAGAAAGCGGTGGATTATTTTGGAAGCAAACAGCTCCCGCAAACTGAACTTGAACGTGGATTACTTTGTATACTTGATAGGCCGTGGATTTCCCTTTTTTTTTTGCGAGTATTCTTTCTGATTTTATGTATCCAAAGTTTGATAAATGTGGGATTTGATGGAAACTTATGGAAAGACACGTCCGCCGGTAAATAGGAATTATTTTTACAAAAAGGCACACTACACAATCACCATTGTTAGGAAAAAACTTTGAAAAAACCGAGGAAATAATAGTTTCCAGTTTCTACATGTACAAAAGTCTTGACAACAAACCACTGTCAGCGGCTGTCAACCGTTGTTTTCATACTCTTTTGGCGTCTGACAGTTTGACGCCAGAGAGAGAGGCTTTTAAATTGAAAAGGTCAATTCTCAGGACTATTGTGCTCACATTCCTTGTAGTCTAAGAGCCCAGAGCCGCCAGACACAACTTATTTTCTAAAGGACAGAATATGTGGGATTGAGTAGCACTTATAGGTACTATGAACGTATGTATATTCGCTAAGTTGGGTAGACGGCCAATTCACTGTTATTTGTAAATAACGGTTTTTTCTCTCATGGGAAAAACCTAATCCCATTTCTACTCTAGCCTAGAGTAGACTGTAAGTTTAAGAGTGGGAAATCAGTTGACATTGATATCTCGCTCACTCTCAAACGCATGCATAGTACCCTCGCGCTTACACTCCCGGAAAAATTATTTTGCGTCTGGGGGGATGTTTGGCCGGTGCGATTGGTCTGGCTGAGCACACGTAGTTATGAAATGGTCTCCCCAATACCATATATAAAAATCAAGGGTTAGAACAAAAGTTAAAGCTTTCTTCAGCTTTCGCACCTGATGTTGGTAAATTGGCCGTCTACCCAACTTAGCGGGTATCCATACGTTCATAGTACATATAAGTGCTACACAATCCCACATATTCTGTCCTTTAGAAAATAAGTTGTGTCTGGCGGCTCTGGGCTCTTGGACTATTGGTTTCCAGAATTCAACTCGAATGAAAACGCAAAATTCTACCTTTTCAAGTTCCACCAAACATTGGACTCGATAACCTCAAGCTACTCCAGGCCAAATTGGACCTACCAGAGTCATTGCTTGTCACAAAAAACGCCACTCTCCCAATTGAATATTACGAAAGAATCAAAATCCAATTCTATTCCATCCATTCAACACTGTTTCCCGAGTACGGCTTCCGGTAAAAGAACCTCAGGGTACGATCCTTCTATCAAAACAAGAACTTCCAGGGCGCACAAATTAACGAAACACTCACATCTGCTTGAAATCAACTCGCTTGGACTGACATTGTCAACACAATCGACGAAGAACTTCAGATAGCGCTGACAACTCCAGTCATCAGCACGCAGTTGGACCTTAATAAGTTTCATATCTACACCACGTATCTAATTTCTCAAGAATCTCCGTTAGCGCATGGCTGGCAAGATTCCAGAAATCAGAACTAATCACCTAAATTCAGAGGAAGAAAAAGCAATACAAAATTTATGTAGGAAGTATGTAGACATTTTCTATTATCCTTGCAAACCAGATCAAACACCATATTAAAACAAAAGATGATATTCCAGTGTACCTCAAGTCATATAGAAATCTACAATATCCATAAAGAGGAACTGAAAAATCAGATATCTTCCATGTTGGATCAAGGAATTATCAGACCAAGCCAGTCACTTTGGTCTTCTTCGATATGGATAGTTCCAAAAAAACCAGACGCCTCCGGAAAAATAAAATGACGGATAGTAGTGGACTAGGAAAGTGAACGAGAAAACTATCGACGTAGATGTCAGTACTTCACGATCTTGGATCTGGCAAGTTATTTTCACCAAATCGAAAGCTGGTTTCAATTATCGAAAATGGCTATTACGAGTATGTCCGGATGCCGTTTGGCCTAAAAAACGCTCCAGCTATGTTCCAGAGGATAATGGATAACGTCTTGAAAGGCCTTCAAGGAGAAAATTGCTTAGTGTACATGGACAATATCATTGTGTTCAGCACACTTCAAGAGCATCTGGTTTATCTTTCAAAAATCTTCCAACGTCTCAGAGAAACAGGATTTAAAGTTCAAATGGACAAATGCAAGTTCCTAAAAAAATATAGTTGGCCTTTCTTGGACAAATTGTAACACCAGAAGAAATAAAACCAAATCCGGCTAAAATTAAAGCCATACTTGACTATCCAATACCGCGAACCAAGAAGGAAATCCGAGGATTTCTAGGCCTCCTTGGATATCACAGGAAGTTTATCAAGGAATTCGCAAAAATTACTAAACCTCTAACTTCCTGCCTCAAAAAGGTTGCTAAAATAGAACTGAAACCAGAATTTTTGAACTGCATTAGAACTTTACTGACAAATCGACCTCTTCTGCAATATCCAGACTTTAGCAAGTCTTTTAATCTAACTACTGATGCAATTGGAGTTATACTATTCTAAGGACCAATCGGTAGCGATTAGTCCATTGCATACGCGTCCAGGACACTCAACGGAACCTAGTTGAAATATTCCACCATTGAAAAGGAAATGTTAGCCATAATCGGGGCCACCAAGTAATTCAGACCTTACTTTTTTGGGAGAAAGTTCAAGATACTTTTAGATCACCGTTCTCTCCAATGGCTTTTTCCATGAAAGACAATAGTTCCAAAATAGTTAGATGGCGCTTAAAGCTGGAGGAATTTGATTATGAGATAATCTATAAGAAGGGAAAATCAAACACTAATGCAGATGCTCTGTCCAGAGTCGAAATTCATATCAAAGAAATAGCCCAACCACCACAAGACGAAGATAACGCATCTTTGTACAACAATGCAGAATCAATCTTCAACATAGACGAAGTTCTAGAGAAACCCGCTTCCCAAGCGAAGATACAAAAGGTCATCAGTGAAATACTAGATAATCTAGAACACACACAAGCCGATACGGAAGAAGATAACGAAACTAGACACATTGCTCAGGAAGAACCTATACTCGGCATTCCAATTAGCGAAAGAGCCCTTAACTAATACAATAACCAAATTGTGCTCAAGTCTGTTGAATATAATCCAGCAAAGCCAATAAGAGAAGTAGCTTTCCTTAACAAATCCAGGCTACATGTCCAAGTAAGCAAGAATAACTTAGAAGGAAGCTTACCTATGTAATATTTTTTAGGGATGAAGATCTTTATGTTCCTCTATACAACATCCTTAAAAAAACTTTGAAAAATTTTGCATTCGACTTTATCAAATGTAACTTTTTCCTAGAAGATGTCAATAGCAAAGAAAGACAAAGTGAAATAATCCAGGCCTATACCATCAAGGAAAAACAAATCATCGAGGAATTAACGAAACCGAAGCGCAAATCCGAAGTAAATATCACTGCACTGGCCTTATTATGTTCATAAATTTCCTTGTGACAATTTCAGGCATATTTTGTTATTATTAAGCTCTTCATATGATTATATTCTCTGGTACGGCATTGTTCTTCCGCAGCAACCGCGATTTTGGTCGATATGCGCCCATGTTTCGGGTACCTTTCATGGTACTTTGCATCGTAGCAACAGCGGTTGTTGATAATTAAATATTTTGTTGCTAAAACGCTTGGAATCGACTCCGACCATTTTTCGGTAATTTTTGGGTCCACCAATAGTTCTCGCCGCCGGTACTATCTATAGAATATTGCACGGTACTATGTTGAACATTTGATTGTGTTGGTAGATGGCGTCAATGCGTCATATTTCCATCATTTGGAAAATTCAGAGATTTTATGGATTCTGTGGCCGTGTTTTCATGTGAGATCTATATTGATTCGAACTAATCCGAAGTATCTAATAAGGGGACAAGATGTGATTATTGGTTGTTTCTTGAAGGGAAGTTTGTCTTGTGCTACTTACACTTATTTTTAAACAAGGCGCGCTTTTCTACGCCAAGTCCTTGTTGTTGGGTGCGGTGGACGTGTGACAGAGGAGTCTGGTAGAAAACGACAAGGGGACCAGGTGGTTTTGAATCGAGAGATCGCACATAAGGGCTGAACTGCTCAAATTGGAGACGATTATCCACTATTGTGGGATTTGTGCGACAGGATCTGACGGTTCTCTGTACCCCTGTATCCAATACAGCCTGTTTGGAGAATCCTCCAAGGTCCTCTCAGCAACCAAGGTATTCCTCCACATGGTTTTACTGGTGGTGATGAAAAGGCGGTTCGCCATTCTAATTTATATTGGAAATTGGCCGTAGTCCGCGGTTCACGGTGCCTTCCAGCTTATGTGAATATCGAGTGCCAAATTGGTTAGGAAATCTTCTTCTGGAAGCGTCTCAAAAGTCTCCCTGATCTAACTCCTTAGACCGACAAGCTTGGAACTTCTGCATTTATCATAACAAACGATAATTACCCCACTGTGGGAATTTCCCTTTTACTGGTACTAATTTCATATTAAATTAAACAAGCATGATTAGCAGTGATGTCAAATGACGGTCATTTAAAATCGTGACGGTCATTTGCGTCAGGACATGTCATGACGGTCGTGACCATGGTCATAGTTCATAGTAATTATTTCAAATTAAAACCACTACCCACTAACAGTCTATAATCTATAAACTCACAAATTGGTTTAAAATAAGGATAGTCTATCGATTATAAAGTTTTGACAAATTAATCGGCATTTCAGAACAGAAGAAATTTCGACAAATTACAAAATAGTGGATAAAAGCTATCCTAGCCCAGCAGGTAAAATAAAATAACAAAAATAATAGCAAATGAAGAAAGTGATACTTTACCTCACACAACGGCAGCCGTTAAGTGCGGTAAAGGCATTTTCATTTTTCCGCATGTGTTAGCTACAAAATTATACCTATGAGCATCTATATCTCCCAAAGAATAGAAGGCATTATTGAAATTTCTGAAAGAGAAGGAATTTTTCACTGTACCTAAACACCGAAGCTACTTTACCGCATACTATGCAGTCTACTTTACTGCACATTTCCACACTATGCGGTAAAATGGTCATGACCAACGGTCACATTGAATGTGACGTGACGGTCATGACCCGCCGTCATGCGCGCTGGTCATAACCTACTAACATCACTGATAATTAGACTAACCTAAGTTGCATTTGCTCATTATGTTTGCATAATGTTTTAAAGGCAAATGCTAGTATAAAGTGGAGGAAAGTACAAGAGATCGTATAGACAATAATATATTCAGGGTTGGATGAACCCACCGGGATACCGGGAAATCCCCGGTGGGCCGATTGGAGTGTGGGCCGATCTTTAGAACAACAGGATTATCAAGATACCTTCAAACCAAAGTCCGAGATCAAACGGAAGGCCTCAAAGCCCAAAGAATGGTCAATTCAACTTATGACATGCTGAAAAAGGAACAACGCAACATGAAAGAAATATGAAGTGCTAAAAATTTTTGACAATTGGGCAAATACAGGACTGGAAGCAAGTGAAATTGATGTAATAATTCAAGATTCATTACCCGCAATTCGTTCTCATAAGAAAAGAAGATATCGGGGCTGTTTTGAGGGAGGAATTGAAGGATTTTGGAAGGAAATGGTCTGACTCGAAAACGACGGAGTTGTATGACCTCTCTGAATCCAACGATGAAAATGATAAATGACGCAATGTTGGATACAGGAAATGAATAAAAAAAGCTTTCATCACATTCACTTTCCAAACAATGTTTGGTTTGCTGTCCTAATGTTTTTAAATACAGATTATAGGTAGGTACCTACATCTGTGCTTGCAGTCATCTCTTTACCAGTATATGTTCTTATTTTAGCGTGTTCACAGGTAGGATGCGAAAAATGCTTTTCAACATAAAAAATTGATCAAGAAGTCCACTTACAATGGAAAATTTGGATGCGTTGGTGATAGTGTACTTGAATAAAGACATCTTAGGATTGTTAACTTTTGAGAAGATTCTCATGGAAATTTTTAGCCTAAGCCCGCCATTAAAGAAAATATCATTCTTATTGTTTGAAATAAATAAATCAATGTATGGGCCGCTAGACTGAAAATTCCCGGCCCTCTTCCAAACGTTTGCCCAACCCTGAATATATTAAAGTCATATTATCCCAGTTAAAGTGCAATTGGAACTTTAAGTGAACCTAGTATAAGGCTGAACAAGCAACAACTCTGCCCAAAAAGCTATATATTATATATTTGTCCATTAAAGATACTTTTAAGCAATTTGTTAGTTATCTCAAGGCTCTGTTCACTGGTGCTCAATAAATCTTGTAATTTGATCTATACAAAATCAATTTCTTTATTTAATTATTAGAATTCCAGCACTCACACAATCAAGAACCAACTCCCAGAACCAACTCTCATCTCGACTGAGTTAGCGGTGGGCCGCAATTTGGAGTGTTTCAACAGAAAAAACATACTTCCAGACCAGATAGAGGAAAATTGACTTAGACGTTATCGGGATCGATTTTTCGAGAAACGTCGATAGTCAAAAACCGTATCACGATATCTTCAATGGTACAATTGATACAGGACGATATTCGATTTTCCCCTATTATGAAAAATAGTTATAAGTTTTTTATTTATCAATTTTTTTTATTTCTGTAAAAACATTATGGAGACACTTTTTTGAGCACAATCCAGTGGCGGAATCAGTTTTTTTCTACATCGCTCCGATTTCGAGATATCGATCAAAGTCCGATATTTTCAAATGAAACACCCTATATATTATTAGCTTATTAGATAGCTCTGTTTTTGCTGATTTCAATGATATAAAGTATGATAGGTTTATCTCTAACAGTTTTCGAGAAAAAAAATTATATCTGTTTTTGTCATAAGGACCAATGTGTTAGAAAAGGATTTTATATGTGTAAGGAAAATGAGGAAGGTCTCTTTCTAACACATTGTTTCTTATGACTGAAACAGATATAATTTTTTTTTCTCGAGAACTGTTAGAGATAAACCTATTGAACTTTATATCATTGAAATCAGCAAAAGCAGAGCTATCCAATGAGCTATTAATATATAGGGTGTCCTATTCGAAAAAATCGAACTTCGGTCAATATCTCAAAATCGGAGCGAAATGGAAAAAAACTGAGTACGCCACTGGATTGTGCTCAAAAAAGTATCCCAAAGAGGTTTTCACAGAAATTAAAAAAATTGATAAACAAAAAACGTATAGCCATTTTTCATAATAGGGGAAAATCGAAAATCGACCTGTATTAATGGTACCATTGAAGATATCGTGATACAATTTTTGACAATCGACGTTTCTTGAAAATCAATCCCATGACATCTAAGTCAATTTTCCTCTATCTGGTCTGGAAGTATGTTTTTCCTGTTAAAACACTCCAAATTGCAGCACCCTGTACTTATCATATCCCACAATAGTAAACTCCAAATGCTCTGGTTTCCAATTTTATATTTGCACTAGTTTTTCTCTTGAATCAATAGACGGTAAGGGTACATCATAACCTCGGCGGCGCACTTAAAAATAAGTCTTTTGTTGTGGTGGATTATTGTATTTAATTAGTCAGTTTCTTAGCTTCTATTTCTCTTATAATATTTCAGTAATTTATCATACCTACCCTCTTTGTTTTTGTTTTCAATTAAATAAACCACGACAGCCTAATCTCAAACGAGATATTGAAAAATTGAAAATATCATAAATGTTTGCGACACCTGTCAGTCAAACAAATACGATAGGAATAATCCAGCCAAATCTAAATTCCTGGATCACTCCAACACCATCCAGATAACTTTCAAGCCGGAGGGCAAACATTATTGATTCCTTCTCAAAATATGGACAAGCATCCGATAGTGGAACAGTATTTAAGAATGGACTTATACAGGAATTTGTAGATACACATAAGATATATATCCATTTTAATTACTACCCCTGATAACCCACAATCCAACGGGATGATAGAAAGATTCCACTCCACCATTATCGAACACCTGAGGATACTTCGAAAAAATAAGAAATCCTTAAGAGTTAAAACACAAATGCCAATTATACACTTCTCGGATACAATAATTCCATCCATTCAATGACAAACATGTGACCAACGGATATATTGACTGGTCACCTGGATGCGCAGGATCTGTTTGACGTTGACGTCAGGAAAATAGTTATAAATAATTCAGAGCAAAGAATGAGCACGTGCTATCGGAGTATTACTAGTTATCGAGATACGCCACTTTGTGGAACTATGAGGGGCTAATATTACAATATTTGGTACCAATATTTTTGGTATACCTAATTCGATTTTCATAATTTCAGAGATACGCCCTTTTGCAGTGCAGACGACGAATTATACTCAGCAACACAGAGAAAAAACGAAGACTATCTACAGGAAATTGAATCGAAAGCTATATGAATTCAAAGAAAAGTACATAGGAAAAAGAAATATAACCAGGTATGAACCCCCCTCACCTACAAACTCAGCACGAATATCTATACCAGGAAAACTGTAAAGCGGAACAAACTATTGCCAAGATTCACTGAAAGTATTGTGACCATTGACACTTATTAAGACACGACCATACATTAAAAAAAAAAATTAAAAATCTTCAAGGAAATAACTCTAGAAATTCCTTACAGATGTTACTCAGCCATCGCGCAGAACCTCCTGATCCAGGATCTGAAGGACAACCCAGGAATACTTCTCCTCAAGCTGGGAGGAGTGAGGATTCACAGTAATACCCTCGACTTCATTCACTTTTCGACCTCTGCCCAGTAATTAAGAAACTTCAGTCATTGGAAGAACAATACGGCTCAGTAAGAACAGCAATGGAAAATTAACTGATTCACCCATACTTCAAAAGCCTACAAAATTCCGATCAAAGTTTACAGTTTCTGTTAAAAGCCGCCAAAGAAAAACTTCGTACCATCATACCTATCCAAAGATACAGAAGAAGAATTTTCAATGGTCTCAGCAGTTTTATTTGAAAACCTGGACCACGAAGACGCCCAAAGGTATGACGCCGCAATCGCAACATTACACCATAGCCAAGAGAATATCGTCTCCCAAGTGAATCAGCGGATGAGTCTTAACACCAAAATAATGGAAAACTTCAATTACACGATCTCCCTTATAACTCACAACGAAGAAACTATAGAAAAAGAAGAGAACAAAATTAACTCTGAACAAAGTAAATTCATGTTCGACTTTACCTTTTTCAACAAGCTAGAAATGTCTTAGATCAGCTGAACTTAGTCCTCCAAATCATCTTACTAAGCTTCAACGACCTCGAGGTAGCTGTAATATTTGCAAAAACAAACACTCTTCATAACTCTCTTATCAAACCCGACGAACTAAAATGGGCTGTTAAGAAGATGCTCGAACACTACTCCGAAATCCAGCTTCCTTATATCTACGAAGAATAGATATACCTAAGTACGATTATACAGGGTGTTTAAAAAAGACGCGGCAATATTTGAGGGAGTGATTCCTCAGGTCATTTTATGGAAAAAAGTTCCCATAAACATAGGTCCGGAAATGCATTTTTTCCAAGATACAGGGTGTTAAAGATTTTTTTAAAATAACGTTTTTTTTTAAATAATTCAAATATCTTCTCACCGATTTTTTTGAAAATTGGCAGCGTTGTTTTTAGTGATTAGGGGCTAGTTTTGCCCTTACTAGATAATTTCTTTTAACTCCAGTGGCGTTAGGGGGGGCAATTTAATAAAATTTATTGACGAAAAAATGTACGCCACTGACTTTAATTTAATTTCGATTTTTCTTTCAGATAAATCAACTAAAACTGCAACTTTTTTGTCTCTTAAATTTTTCTCGTATCTTGCTTCGTTTACAAAATAAAAAATTAAAACTATTTTCTTGCTTGTCCAATATGATACAAAAACATCACAAAAACTGTTCAAAGTGACCACCCCCGGCGTGGATGCAGGAATCCAATCTTCTCCTCATTGACTGGCGAACTCTCTCAAAAATACCAGGGTCGTTTCTAATTGAGTTACACCCATCAATGATTCGAGCTCTTAGGTCTAATCTTTACCACCCTGTATCTTGCAAAAAATGCATTTCCGGACCTATGTTTATGGGAACTTTTTTCCATAAAATGACCTGAGGAATCACCCCCTCAAATATTGCCGTGTCTTTTTTAAACACCCTGTATAATTAGCATTGATGGATACTTCTCAAACCACATAATTGTCTTTATCCTGCATTTCCCCATTCTGTCACCAGAAATTTTCACATATGTATTTCCATCTTTTCTCAATACCCACGACGAATCATACCACCATAATTCCTCCTGCTCCCTATTTAGCCCTGAGGGAAAATTTATTCCAATACACGAAAGTTCCATGCCGTAAAATTGATTCCGAATACTTGTGTTTTACAAAATAACAACCCAGGATTGTATAAGCCAAATACTTCAACTTATCAACAGCAAAGCAACTTGCCGGTAAATACCTGTGTCAATCAACACCATGTTAATACAAGATCTATCCGATGCTTCTTATATAGCCATATTTCCTAGGCCTACGAAAATATCACCTCTTTGCCCAACAACCAAGATCATGATTCTCAAAGGAGTATTCTTAATCAATTTACCACTAGGATGCGAATTCAGAATTTCCAGTGGAATCTTCTTGAATGAGAAAACTGTAATCCAAGAAGAACCAATAACACTTCCCAGAATACACACAAGAAACGATGATCGACAACCCGAAGTAAAGCCTATGAAACTCTCCCGGGTACCCTTGGATGCACTTCACAAACTAATAACGGCAGAAGAACAACTTGAACCAATCGAAGCCCAAACGCAATCAACAATTAACTCTCACTTCTGGATAACACCTTTGAATATTTTAGGCACGATTATGGTAATAGTTGTTTGTTACAAACTCAAACAAAGATGGAACCTCGCTGGGAAGAAAAAGGATTTCAAACAAGAACCTTAGGAGGACAGCAAATGGAAGAAACAAGTCCCAAAGAAGAGGAACCAACAGTTTTGTTCGTCCGTTACAAAACTTCCCCCGGGAAGGGAGAAATTACGGATCAATGACCCCATATATCCGGAATACCAGTCATGTAATTTCAACTTTGGCCAATATAGAGGCCAAGCAAAGCAATACTGGGAGAGCACACCAGATATGAATCATTCAGAATCCAGTCGTAAAAGTGAAGTTTGAAGTCCGGGATCGTGACTGAAAACACCGGACTTCAAACTTCACTTGACTACAAACAAAAAACGAAATTTCTTAAAATTTTCAGCCTCTTCCTTTTAGAATTCCCACTACAATAACATCTGTTAATTCCTAGACCAGGATAATAACAAAGTTATGAAAATATTTGCGATCTAAGGAAGATCCTAGGAGGTAATCTATAATGAAACAATAACAAAGCAAAGACTGTTGTGAATATACATATAGATTAATTACTATGCAAATATTATTTTAAACTCGAGATACCTACTATATATGTATACATGCATGCAACTTATGTACTCAATTCAATTCCGATCTGACATAATCTAAATATGAAAAATATATTAAGCCAAGGCTAGTAGATTTTGCAACAACGTAAATAAGTTTTTGATATCGTAAATAAACTTATCGGAAAATCGAAAATCATCAAAGTACTAATTTTGCTTATTTCTCTAAACAAAAATATGATGACTTAAAAGTTGCTAATTTGGCTGTTTAAGTTAAAAAATCTTACCACTACAAAACATTACACAATCGAATTTAATTACTCAAGGGTAAAATGTCCGAGGGCCTCGTCGCCACGTTTTTCGAGATTATTTATATTGAATCAGTATAAACAAATCAGCATGATGATATTATTTACTATAGGATGCATCAAGTGGAATGAATCGTTTCAATTCTGGCAATTATGCTAAGAATGTGGCCGAGATGGTTTGTTTATTGATAAACGATCCTTCACAGTGGTTGCCAAAAACCCATAGTAATTTGGTTATTGAAATACATGAAACATAAACTTAATATTTTTTGTTGTAAATTCAAAGTAAACTGAAAATTAACATTTTGCATATGTATGTATTTTTTCAATTTTTTTTTTTTTTTTCAACAGACGCGGGCTATTTATTTTACAGAAAAAAAAAACAAATACAATTCTAAATAGAATAAACATGATAAAAAGGCTTTGAAACAAAGTTTGTTTTCATAAATAAAACTCTCCGAAGCATCAGAGAGAATTTGAGATGAATGAAATGTTTCGGCAATAAAGCTCTGCTTAACTTTTCCGACTCGAAAAAAAAGAGGATTTTCTATAAGTACGGTTTGAGATTTAAGTTTCACATAACTGACCTAATTATATTATACGAATAAATGTCATCTTATGGTTGGTGAGTACGGAGGTGGTAGTTCATAGGTTGGAGTTGGAGGCGTTAAGGAATAACATGGCGGCGCCAAATTAACGTAATCTTGCTTGACTGGAATGGTATAAATAAAGCTGGGGTCTGAAACTGAGAAAAAAAATGCATTAGAATGTTTTATTTTGAAAATGCAATAAAGTAAAAATGGTGGTCGACGATTGGCGCTAGAGAGTGACAGCTCGGCGCGGTATTCTAATTTTCCATCTATTTTTGCGGAATAAAAGTATTTAGGTAGTGAAAATACCTAATTGTGGAAGAGAAAATAATTAATTGCATCCGGGGGTAAGTCCTCAGAATAAAATTCAAACCCCTGCTTGCCTTAGTAAGTATAGCTTCTTCTTCTCCTTCTTCCTTGAATTTTGTGAGCTCGAGTCTTAGACCACCGCCCAATTAAGTTTTATTATGGAAGATGTACTAATTAGTACGTCTGGATGATACCCATGTCTTCCATAATATTGTCTTTAATTTTATTTTATTTAATTTTTTTTCAAATGTTGAGGTTATGTAGATTTCTTCTAGTCTATTCCATTCTAATCCATGTCTAATCGCTAAAATGGCGCTATGGAAATCAACTGCGTCCGGGGCTAATCAGGAGAGGTGGAGCGACCCTTCCACATCCGTAATGCACTTTGTTCCAGTTTGCAGTTACGGTTTTTCCTCGCGGAGGCACCCGAATTTGGCCTCAACACGTCTTCCGTGCACCACCCGGTGAAGCTTTTTAGCTCCTTTTGCCAACCGACTACAGTCTGGCGAGAACAAAACGAGACTCAGTAAGTATAGGTTTTTCCTACGTTGCCTTTTTCTAACCTAAAATAGTATCACAACCACATGATTGTAGAACTGGGGGCCCCCACCTAGTGGAAATATGGACAAAAAAAGACAAGCAATTTTTCATACACATTCAGAGATTCTAAACCATACATGGTTATTGTTGAAAGCAAAAATGAGGAAAATATTGGTAATACCTATGCATCCCATGAGTAGATGGTAGACTTGTAAGAAATAGAAAAGTAGGAGGAGTGGAGAAAACCTCAAGAAAAGGTAAAAACAGAGTTGGAATTGAATTTACTGATTATCTTAGTGCAAACGAATTTTTAACTAATAAAATGTTATTAGAGGAAGATCTTAATGCATATATTCCAGCTAGCCTATAGTCACTTGCGAAGGAATAGCCAGAGGTATTCACAAAGGCCTATCAGAAGAGGAGACAGTGGAGAATACAAAATCTGTTGCAAATGTTGTTGAGGCCAGAAGGCTAAAGAAGAGAATAACCGAAAATGGTGATAGTATCTGTTTGCGCCGCTTATGAATTGAACTTTAAATCCCAACCATCAATGTCAATTCGACTTTTTCAATAGAGACAGTTAGCACCAGTCGGCAAAGAAGAGACATTGACATAGAATGATGAGCAGCATTTTTTTTTTGATTTTGAATCTAGTTTGTAAGTTTTTTCTTTGTAAGACGATTGCTACGCAACTGAAAAATTATTATTATGATTATAAAAAAAATTTGATACACTTATGTACGTCTCGTCTGATTCAATTGATAACACAAGAAAATAAAGTGAAATGCTTACAAATCTTCACTAGTTGGTTTTCCAACCCGCCTACACAACAGTATCTATGTAAACACTAAATCAGTGGTGTTTAAATTCCCAGGTAAGTAAACCTAGATTTCGGTGATGTAATAAATGATCTCAGTCCATATACGTCCAGTATTGATGTGTTTCAAATGTCTAAGATGTGGCCAAACAGTGCCGAGGCAAACAAAGATGTCCGATATGTGCGGAAGAGCACGAAGAAAGAGACTGTGAACACAGTACACCTAATTGTTTATACTGCAACATGGAACATAAAACCACTGCAATGCAAGGAGTATTTGAGACAAAAAGCAATTAAAACTACGATGATAACAGAAAACATTTTTTTATTTTGAAGCAAGGAATAAACACCCAAAAGGAGATGAAAGTATAGGGCAAAGAGGAAACTTGGATCATAGAGTCTTTCCAGTTCTGAATCTCACAAGAAGTGCTGCAGAAGCCAGTAGACCAATTGAAGTGAATCAGAGACATTTATAAATATCAACCCCTACGACCCCAAGAAAACCATCATATTCTTCGGCTGCATGTAACCTGAAAAGAAAAAACCCCTGTTCGCCAGGTTACGACAGAGAAATGCAAAAAAATGTCTGATTCCTGCCCCTGCTAGAACGCCTACTCAAAGGAGTACAAGGGAAGGCTCGCCAGTTGGTAGTATCTACCGTTCTTAGGCCAGGGCAGATAAATTTTTTCGTAGCATAAAATTTAACAGCAAACTATCGATGCAGTATTGTTAAGAATCATTTATAGATGCTAAAAACCAAAAATGCAACATCTAGTTACTTTTAAGGGATTTTATAAACAATATTTAGTGCAAAAATAGGGCTTTTTTTTGTTTATTCCACTGTATTTCGAAAACTAATGATCGGATGGTTTTGCTACCATGGCAATAGTTTTAGAGCATTGAACAAGCTTTAAAATGAGCCATCATACAACCCTGTAGGTCTTTTAGTCTTCGAGAAATTATTTTTTTCCCACCAAAAAAGAGATTTTTGTAAAAAATTCCTAACTTTTTTAATTTTGATGCTAGACAATTAATTTTTTACACATACATAGTAGATGAGGCAGGCTTTATTGAGTCCAAATTTGGGCCCGGTCCGATGGGTCGTTTCGGCATAATACCCCTGTCAAGCAAAATGGGGATGTTTCTAAAGCAGTCTGTCGAATTGAGGATAATTTTTTTATATTTATTTTGAAAAGTCCACTGCTAAGTCGAAATGCCAAACTATCGATCCTCTATCTCAGATTTTCCATTTAATTTTTTTATCGCAAGTAAAACGGCTCGATGTGGTAGGAAAAATGCGGTCGTCTCCCAGACTATAAGGAAAAATAGAGATTTTGGGCGATTTTTCCACACAAGCCCATCGAAAGGATGAAAATCTACAACTTCGGTAGCAGGAAAACTTATTTTTCTGCGATTGACAAGAAATGTCAGCATTTTTGATCGGTTGACAGGTCGCAAAACGTAATATTTTGGTATTTCAATTATGTTTCAATAGTTGCTAAGGAATCAATGAATAACAATACGGGAAACACTTTTCCGGCCTAGGCCGGGAAAGTGATTGTCGTATTGCTGAATAATTGTAACTAAAAGACAAACATTTAACAGGTATTTAACCGATCGCAGAAAAAATAGTATGTGTATTTCGGTGGAAAAGCACATTCTCGGCCTTCGGTGTTTGCCGGCCTCGGCTACGCCTCGCCCGTCAACTTACACCGTCGGCCGAGAATGTGTCACTTTTCCACCTAAATACACAATATACTATTTCTTGAGTGTCGCTAATAGAAAAGTGCATTATAAGGGTAACATAAATACAATCGAATTTTCCATATGTTATCCCCAGGAGCCACTCGTAAAAATACCTTCAACCTACTCAAAATCGATGTACTTTTCAACCTTCTTCGAGGCTTGTATGTGAAAATGGGGCACCTAAATATGTCACTATCTGACGGTCTATTATGATAATGCTTCATTGGAAATTCTAAGAGAGAAGTTGAAAGAAGCCGGGGTTAATGGATGGATTATTGAGTATATATACAGGGTGAGTCCAAAATAAGTGCGCATTTTGTTATGGTAGATAAAGTACAGTAGGACAATCACTTTTTGTATAGGAACATCGTGTCCGCAAACGTCTCGTTTTGACATTCTATCTTTAAATTCAAAATGGCTTTAGCGATTTTGTTCAAATTTCCAGAAAGTGTTTACAATGTTCTCGAGCATCTTTCTGAAAAATCCGTGTTTGAGTTCCACTTTTCCAGGACCGAACGCAGAGCGACTCTTATTTTTTTTTAAGAAAAAAGTGGTACGCTCCTTGTCTTTTTGACAAATCAAGAATTATTTTTTAATTCCTTGTTTCATTTTAAATAAAAAAGGTATTACGAGTATTTCTTGTTCGATGCGGCGACGTTTACGAGATAAAAAATAAAAATCAATTAATTGTTTGGAAAATCTCGTTGTTCGATATACTCCACTTTGTTCACATGATACCGGAAGCTAAACAAGAATGAAGTTAAAAAAGTTTATGCCATAGTATATCGCAAACACTCTCTGAAAATTTGAACAAAATCGCACAAGGCATTTCGAATCTAAAGGCAAAAAGATTCCGAAAATTTCAACACTCTGTATTTTCTTAACGAGACGTTTACGGACATATGTTCCTATACCTACAAAAACCCTACTATACTCTATCTATCATAACAAAATGCGCACTTATTTCGGACTCGCCCTGTATTACTTGTATTCAGATAGAAATATAACTATAAGAGAACCGCTCTATAGAAACCTAATAGGTCCACAAAAACCACACATGGGGTTGCCGCACGGATCGCCTCTGAGTCCTCGGTTATTCAACATATACACCAATCAAATTCAGGAATTCGTGGCTGGCGAGGCTTGTGCATTGCAATATGCCGATGACATTGTACTGTTTGCAGCTAGTAAAAAGGTGGAGGAAGGTATAAGAAAAATGCAGGTTGCTTTGAACAGATTGACAGGATGGTTAAGGGGCCATGGATAATTCAACAGAAAAAACTAAAGCTACCTATGTTGTTTTCTAAGGGTAGTAGAAATAATCCAATAACAAATATAAGAGTGTTAAATAGAGAAATTGAATGGGTCAAAAATTGTAAGTAGGTACCTACTTGGGTATCATATTGGACAGGAAGTTGAAGTGGTACGAACACATTGAATCTATGATTAACAAGGCGCAGAAAGCAATTAACATAATGAGAGCAATTAGAAGAACTTGGCGGGGAGCTGACCCAAATATATTGTTGAACATTTATAAAGGGCTGGTTAGAACCCATTTTGATTATGGCTGTCAAACGATCTACCACTACAGCACTCCCATAATGGCGTTGTTATCTGAAGCAGCACAGCGAAGGAACCTACTTCAGTACAAAGTTGATGCTCAGAAAAGTAGCCTTTAGAGGGGACGAGGTCAATAGGGTGATACTCAACTTCTATGCTTGTTACAATCAGGATCTTCCTTATTGAAGGACCAAGAGCGCTCCGGCGGTAATGGAGGGGGTGAATTATGTATTGGCCCACATAGGAATATTGAAAAGATCGGATAATCTGCCAGGTTTCGAAGAGGATATGAAAACTCAACTGCGGAGAATAGACTGGGTGGATTCGAATATACAAAATTTCATTCCAGATGGCCAACTCTTGCTACAGGAGCTGTTGGAGGAATACTCGGATCATGAAAACACATATTCAGATGCATCTTTGGAGCCAATATCAACACATTACAGAATTGGAGTATACAACAACACAAAGAAAATCCCAATAATAGAGAGATGCCAGAATCTAACCAACATTTGTTCAGCAGAGGTACTAACCATATATACGGCCCTCTATACGTTAGAGATTGACACCAGGAAAAGCTTTTCAAGTATCGGATTACAAAAGTGCTATTTTGAAAATTGTCGGAGATGGCATCAACAGAGGGACCGATAAATTCACGTTGAGAACGGGGAGGAAAATATTAGATATGTAAGATGGAGGACATGAAAAGGCAGATAGACTTGCTGGAAGGGGCCAAGAGGCAGATAAGGCCATCAACAGAACAATACACTATGATGATCTATTCAGAGTAGCTAAAGAAGAGACATGGAGGCAATGGGCTGTGGAATTTAACAATAAAGGTAGAGTTTGGCTGACTGAAGAAGTAGAAGAAGAAGAAGAAGAAGAAGTAAAAAAGGTCTCTTGACGGTCATTCAAATTGTGATAGGCAAAATATAGGTATTAGATAAATATTACAAGTTCTTTGGTGGTTTCCCTAGCTCCCAGATTTTACTTTGAACTTTTTCCGACTTCCTCGAGTTTTCTTATTAATTTTCTATTTTAAAAACTTCCTCGAATATCTGCAACACTTACACACGTTTGCCTTCCTTGTATATCCACTTCCTCTATTTCATAAATATTTTTTGGAGAAACAAAAAGCTGAATTGTTGAGTTGAATTTTGACTAAGACCCTTGAAAAAAGTACCCAAACAAAATAATAAAAAAACATACTTAACGAGGACACATTTTTAAATATTTTTTGAGAGGCATTTGTACTCGACTATTGAAAACTCAAGGATAGGGACATACGTATAAACAAATATGAATTCAATAGAAGATTTCATTATGAATGACTTTGGCAGAAAGTCGACAAACAAAGTCACATAACCTATAAATAGCATTGTCAATAATGTCAATGTTATTAATTTTTTTTCAATTTTGGGCTTGAATTTAATAAATATGGCAGTTTTGGGAGAACGTGATATGTTTTATCGAGAGGCGATAAAGCGATGTGTGTTTGGTGATTGTAAAAGTGATAGTCGAACGAGTTCCATTAAATTAACGACCCCATTCGCCTCTACTGGAGTTTTAGGTAACACAGCACCTGTCACATCACTTTCTGTTAATTTTATCAAACGTTTTGCAACCAAAGAAGCCATAGCGAATGCACCGAATACTTACGAAAGCGTAGATTTGACAAGATGCTGTGTTACCTTAAATTCCAGTGGAGGCAAATGGGGTCATTAATTTAATGGAACTCGTTCGACTATCACTTTTACAATCACCAAACACACATCGCTTCATCGCCTCTCGATAAAACATATCACGTTTTCCCAAAACTGCCATAATTATTAAATTTAAGCCCAAAATTGAAAAAAAAATTAATAACATTGACAATGCTATTTATAGGTTATGTGACTTTATTTGTCGACTTTCTGCCAAAGTCATTCATAATGAAATCTTCTATTTTCAGCAAACTTGAACTGGTGATGGACTGATATAGAAAATCGATGCTTACCTTCTAGGTTAGTATCACTAGAACCATTACGACATTGTCTACGAGATTCTCTATACTCTGAAACTAATAAAAAAATAGTTTCTAGTACAAGTTGTATCCTTGCACTTACTTACTTTTTTTACAAATCCTCAAAGCCAATAATATCATCGGTAAGACAGCAACCAAAGCCACTAGAACCCAACACAATTTTTCTTTTCTGGCAAAATGAGCCTCGTGAGTATGATTGGGATAATTATAAGAAATATTTGTGAAAATTGTCGTTTCCATTTTAGATTTTATGACAACTAATATGACATGTTCCTACCTACTACTAAAAATAAATCACTATAAGTAGATAAATGAAATATTCATTTTGACGATTTTGAAAATGACGAGTTATTGATAAGAGTCAATTATTGAGTTGATTGGCAAGGTACTTAATAACAATGTTGTATTTCTAATAAATTATAAGTGTTGTTTTTGAAAAATATAATTTACAAAAAAAATTCTGTTGTGCCGTAAATTTACGGTAAAAAAATATTTATCAAAAATCTAATCGTCTGACGCCATTCGACAAAAAAAAAATCTGTTTTCTATACATAAAGGGTCGGCGACAAAATAAAATGATAAGGGTGTGTATATACCTTTTTCCTCGCTTTTTTCCATAGAATAACTTCTTTATATTTAAATATGTACCCCAATGGCGAAACTTTTGTATCATAAATTAAATTTCTTTCAACGAGATTGACTTATACATTTTTGCACTTTGTACTAATTAATTTTCCATGAAACTGCTCAGTGGTTATTGAGAAAACAACAACTATTTTTCATATAACACAAAAGATTTGGATTAAAAAGTTCCAACGAAGTGTGTTAGTGAAGGCCGCCCGCTACGGTTATATGTTCAAGCTTGAAGTGGAAAATGCTTAAGAAAATAATCACCCCAAACCATTAGCTATATTGGGTTCTGACAAAATATGATGCTTATGATATTCTGAAGTGATTGATGTTCACAATAACAAAGAAAAACGAAAATGTGAAAAGAGGTAAGGGCAAGAATCAACGAGAAACTTAACTCGATATAGAGAATCGGCTTTATGCTGTAAGGACATTGACATAAAAACGACGTCGTTCCATTAAAAACTGAGATTTTTTTATGCCGGAAGGCAGTCAATATTTGATATATTATGTAAAAATAAATATGCATACCGTACGCCGCTAGTATTTTCCTGTTTCTGACTATTGTCTCAACCTTTCCATGTTAGTATGAATTCAATCCTATGTACAGTTTTTAAATAATCGTACAGTTTTCTATATTTTCGTGTGGTTCTCCATTCGTTCGTAGGTCGATCGACTGTACGCCACTGGTATTTTCCTGTTTGTGACTATTCCCTCAACCTTACCATATTACTATGAATTCAGTTCTATGTACCCACAGTTTTTGAATAATCATACAGTTTTGTATATTTTCGTATGGTTCTCCATTCGTTCGTAGATCGATCGAGTGTACACCACTGGTATTTTCCTGTTTCTGACTATTCCCTCAACCTTTCCATATTACTATGAATTCAGTCCTATGTACCTACAGTTTTTGAATAATCATACAGTTTTGTATATTTTCGTATGGTTCTCCATTCGTTCGTAGATCGATCGAGTGTACACACACAAAATAATTACCTATTTGTCTATCAACTAATTTATTCTCATAAAATCTTACAATGACTTCTACTTGAAACATAAAATTCCTAATTCAAAATTCATTTCATGAACAATAAATTGTTTTAACAACTTTCCCATATTTTAAGACAATTCTATTTCATGAACTTCAAGTTTCTTTCCAAAATTTCCTATTCCCTTTAATAGTTTATTTAATCAGTACAAATTCTATTATAAGTTTCCTTTTAACAACTTTCCAATATTTTAAGACAATAATTCTATTTCAAGAACAAGTATCTTTCCAAAATTACCTATTCCATTTAATAGTTTATTTAATCAGAACAAATTCTATTATAAATTTCCTTTGACAACTTTCCATTATTTTAAGACAACAATTCTATTTTATGTCATCAAGTTTCTTTTCAAAATTTCCTATTGCAGTTAATAGTTTATCAGAACAAATTCTATTTTCGGATTCCTATGCCTAGCTAATAAATTCAACTGTTTAATTCATAATTCCATCTCAAAATTGTATATTGTTAAATGCATTATAAGTACCCTGCATATTTTCTTTGCACATTTAAATTAGAATGTCATTATATCTGAAGGCAATTAAAGTTATGCAATAATGTTCCCTTTATAAAACACTCGAGTTATTACTAATAAGGCAATAAAGTTCCACTGTTAAATTAAAAGTCAAAAGTTTTTCTAGTAACAATCCTCAAGTTTATAAATTCAAAAGTATTTCTAGTAATAATCACTCAGTTTGTTTTTATGCAATGAAAGTCAATTGTTGATTCACTTCTTATCTTTCAGAATCATTGATAAAAGTAAGAAAGTTTTTACTAGTCAAATTCACTCAAGTAAAATTCAAAGTTTAATCACACAAAGTCATGTTCATCATTTATATTGGAAATAAATCTTGTCACTATAGAGTACTTACATTTTGTCCATAAAACACACGTAAAATTACTTAATTAATTACTCAAAATATTTAGCTAGCACGCACATAAATGTTGACGAATTTAAATGTTAATTCTTACACGATTTTTCGAACTTTTCTAAGTTAAAATCGAAAGCGTCTTCCGAGGCAGCTTCGCGACCTTTCAACCGGGCAAACTCATTTGGTTCTGTAGACTTTTACTCAAACTGGACTGGACAAATAATAACTGGCTACCGTCTCTAACAACTAAAAACGAGATATTTATATTTTCCCCCAAATAGTCAACAGGCGGTCGTTTGCCTAGCAATCCGACATTTCCATTGGCCAACCTAATTATTATTAAAAATAATGATGCAATTTCCTTGGAATTTTATATAATTTTTAGCCTGAAAACGATTAATTATGTCGTAATGTTCTGATTTATTAAGGTCAAAACATTATTGGTTCAAGAATGCCATATATCATCAAATTAATTAACATGCTGGCCTTGCTAAGCAAAAAAAATTTCATTGATCGGGTGATGACACAGGGCTTGATGACGAAACACCTTATATAATATTAAACGTTAATTTTTTCCCTTTTTAATTTATCGATACGGATTTAAGAATACCGGAATTAAATTTTTGATTATTTGATAAAATTTGTTATTATAGGGTCAAATTTCTGGATCATCACGCAGTTTCCTATGTAGGTTCAGTTTTTGAATAATCATACTTTTTTTTTTTTTCGTGTGATTCTCCATTCGTTCGTAGGTTGATTGAGTGTACGCCACTGGTAGTTTCCTGTTTTTGACTATTCCCTCAACCTTTCCATGTTATTATGAATTCAATCCTTTGTACAGGGTGTTTCTTTATATTTTGACCCCTACCTACAGCTTTAGCTATACGAGTTGGAAAAAAACTTTAAATATGAAAGTTGTAGGGTTTCATGTCTATTATCTTTTGCGAATGTCAAAATAGGCAAATGACAGGTACTAACTGTCACAATGACAAACACTTGCATTTTTCAAACGAAACTCCCTGTATATTTTTGGCTAGAATGATAGATTTTATTCTTTTGATTCCAAGTATACCATATATGTTGATATTTGATTCAGCTGTTCTTACGCTATTCAAGTTTAAAAATGCATTTACTTTACATTACTCATAATTTAATCTGTCCTGGTTTCTTATATCCATGATAAGGCTTGCTCAATGCAATTTCAAAATTAAATTGCGCAAAAACAACTGAACCAAATATCAACATATATGATATATTTGGAATCAGAAGAAAAAAATCTATCATTCTAGCCAAAAACATACAGGGTGTTCTGTTTGAAAAATGCAAGTGTTTGTCATTGTGACAGTTGGCACCTGTCATTTGCCCTTTTTGACATTCACAAAAGATAATAGACATAAAACCCTACAACTTTCATATCTAAAGTTTTTTTCCACCTCGTATAGCTAAAGCTGTAGGTAGGGGTCAAAATATTAGGAAACACCCTGTACCTACAGTTTTTGAATAATCATACAGTTTTGTATATTTTCGTATGGTTCTCTATTCGTTTGTAGGTCGATCGAGTGTACGATATTGTTGTTCGCTAGCAGGTCATTTTGGCAATCCCCGAGGATTATACAGTTTATATGCACAAGAAACTTGTGGCACAACTATAGGCATAACAATATTGAATAAAAATCACCAACGGTATAGGGCAAGTTACTAAGAAGTTTGTTGACAAACAGGTTTAATTTGTGAAAAACATTATGGTGTTAATTTGTGACAAAACTGTGATAAATTCAAAGACTTCAAATTGTGTCAATGGGATCTATTCCCATAACAAATTCTCCTGAAATATAAAATCCTATGATTAAGAAAAACAGATAAATTTATGTTTTTGCCATATTCTAATCTCATTCTAATGGAATATTTACGTTGTAGTCTTAATTACTACGTAGGAAAATTGAATTTTCCATTTTGTGAAATGCCTCTCGTCATTCCAACCCAGTGCCCGCTAATCAAACGAGACAACCCAACAGAGTGAATATTCAAATAAACGCTCCTGAAGATGTATAAACAGAAAGCAACTCCCTATTTTAAGTTTACCCTCCAAGATTTAATTACCTAGTATAATATCTTTTAAATGGTATTTCATATACCCGATATATTTGAAGGTAGAAATAAATTACAAAAGTAAACATCCCGCGCCCCTATGTAAAAAACGTAGGTACTAATTCTTTTTTTTTATTTCCAATAATCAGATATATGTATATAGAAAATTAAACAATAGAATATTAACAATATACATTCATAAACCATCAAGAGCCGTAGCTATGTTGGTTTTACAATAACAAAATTGGATACTATTCTTACAAAAGTGAGGTAATGTAGCCTATTACTGAATATGGTTTATATAAAGGTTTAAAGAAATTATATTAGATTATCTTGTATCTCAGTCATCGAAGTAATTTACCAAAAGTAGTTTCTTTATTTTAATTTTAATTTTTCTTCCATGCTTCTAGGTAGTTTCTTATACAAAATCAGTCCTTCTGAATAAATGCTTCTTTGTGCAGCTGTAGTTCGCTTTTTTTCTGTACGGAAAATACCTCGCTGTCTGGTATGGTAATCCTGAACATCTTCCGTCCGAGTTAGAGTAATATTTGTATTGTAGGCTTTGCCTCCAGGATATCAATAGATATGGTGTAGACCAGCAACACGTGAAAAGGTAGTTGACAGCAGTTGTCTGAGAGACAGATAATTTT